GACCTTTCTCTGTCTCTGTATCTTTCTGTAACTCTTTCAAATAAACAAAATAAGTATTTTAAAATAAACAGCTCATAGTTTAACCAAATGTTAAATTTTCAGTTCTATAAGCTGATTGTAAAATACTAAAAATTACTAAAAATTAACTTACATAAACTCATCTGTGCTTTCAATGTAATTTACTTAATTGTAATCAGTATTTAAAACTGAAGCCAGGAGCCAGGAGCTTCATCTAGGTCTCCCACGTGGATGGCAGGGGCCCAAGCACTTGGCCATCTTCTGGTGCCTTTCGCAGGACATTAGCAGGGAGCTGGATCAGAAGTGGAGCGGCCAAGACTCAAACCAGGGCCCATATGGCACGATGGCATCGTGGGCAGCAGCTTAACCCACTACACCACAACAGAGGTGCCATGGGGGAAAATGATTTTTTAAAAGGATAAGAAGTCTGAAACACAAAAGTCTCTGTCTCTTTCTGCTTATCCAGCCAAAATATTGCAAGTGAAAAAATATTTTGGGAAGAGATTTTTGTTTGAAAGAACTGTTTTCATTCATTTGTTAGACTGTGTGCTAAGGAATATTTTGTTTAACCTCGCTTAGCTAGCAGCAATACCTGTTTGCTAAAGTTTATATGGAGAATTGTATGGTGATCCGGGAACTTTGAAAGTCATTTTAGTAGATGGGAATCGAAACTTTATTAGTGGAATGGTAAATGAAAATCTGGTTGATACAAGTTAATGTTAACCTTCAAGCAAGAAAAAATTTTGGTAGGCTTTTCTGTGAAGTGTGTGTGTTTAAGAGTGTTGGCTTCTCTGATTTTGTCTTGTGTGGTGCTTTATGAGTGTATTAGGGGAGATATTATGAATAGCTCCCTACCTCCAGGATTCATTTCAACAATGACTTTATAAATCTTAAGAGTAAGAATGCAAGTATGAAAATAAGATGGCTTTTCAATCCTGTGTTGACTGTGTGCTTAAAATGTTGATTTACTAATACCTACAATTTCCAAATTAAATGTTATGGTGTATGGATGACTTATTGTAATCTCCTGCAAGGAAATTCATCTCAAAAAGTTTTTCAAAAATCATCCTGAGTTGGGGAGGGGAGAGCATTCCTAATTCAAAGCAGGAGTCAGGCTTAGATCACGGCTCCCTGGAGGAAAGAAAGGAGGTTTTACTTGTTGCATATGTTTTAAAAATATTTATAGATACGGCTGGACTTTTAGTACTTTACCTCTGGTTTTAATGATGGAATTCCCAAAGGACCAAAATTGTTCCAAACAATCTGAACAGTGTCTGAAGTTTAAGAACACTATACGGTGGGCCTAAAGACTTTAATCCTTGTTGGAAACTTTGAATGGGAAATATGTCCTTTTAGTCCTATGTTTCTTGAACTTTCTGTTAACAAAATATCTCCTTGCCTCCTATTTAGCCGTTAACCAACTGCAGATTCACTGTGATCTTTACTAAAACATGTTCTATGTGAGGTCATAGGTAAATTCCTACGGTCATTAAATTGAGTGATTTTGTTGATTTCCTGTCTATCCAGTCACCAGACTTTGTATTCAGGACCTACTATGTGACTTGCTATTAAGTATACGTTAGTAATTAAGGCAGACTCACTCCTATACATTGTGGAGCTTTCAATATTTTTTTTTAACGCTGTTAACCTCCTGCCTTTAAATATTATGAAATCGCTAGCCTCTGGTTAGTTAAAATCATTGTTAATTCTTTCTAAAATGTTCATTTGTATATTTCCATTTTATTAGAAAGGCAGGGAGATCCATCTTCCATCTGCTAAGTCACTTCTGAAATGCCTGCAATAGCCAGGGCTGGACCAAGCCAAAGGCAGGAGCCTGGATCTCATTTTGGGTCTGTTACATGGGTGTCAGGGATCCAATTACTTGAGCCATCATCTGCTCCTTTACAGGGTGGGATTGGCGCTATGACTTGAACCCAGTAACTCCCATAATAAGATGTGGGCATCCCCAGTAGTGTCTTAACTGCATTTCCCACCCACCTAGAAGACCTGGATTGAGCTCCAGGCTGTTCAACCTTGGCTGTTGTGGGCAGTTGGGAAATAAACCAGCAGATGGAAGAATGTGGGCTTGCTCTCTCTTTCTCTCTCTCTCTCTCTCTCTCTCTCTCTCTGCCTTTGAAATAAAATGAAACTAAGAAGCTAATTTTAAATACACACACCCTTATATTGGAGTCCCTGCTCCAGCTTCTGACTTGAGGTTCTTGCCAGTGCACACTCCGGGAGGCAGGCAGTGGTGGTGGGTCAAGTAATTTGGTTCCTGATAAATCATGGGAGACTTGATTGAATTCCCAGCTCCTGTATGGTTCTTGCCCAGCACCAGCCATGATGGACATCTGGGGAGTGAACCAGTAGATGGGGAAACTCTTCTCTCTTTGTCTCTTTCTCCCTGCCTTCCAAACAACAACAAAAAGATAAACTAAAGGAAAGATCACTTGTGTAAATACTGTATGTCTAATTTTGGAGTTTCAATTCTGTTCCACTGATCAATTTGTCTATCTCCAGGTTGCCAAACCAAGGCCCACAGGCCAAGTCAAGCTCACAGCCTATGAGTTAAGAATGAGTTGTGTGTTTCAAAGGGATTGTACAAAAACAAAAACCAAAAGGAAGGAGAAGGAAATGTGAGAGATATTGTGTGTGTGTGACTCAGGGCTAAAATATTTACTGTCTGGCCCTTTGCATGCACACACCTACAGACACACACACTCACATTTCTAAACCTCATCTACTTGACACTAACACCACATGTCTTGATTCCTATAGCTTTATAATATTATGTTAGATAATGCTAGTCTCCCAACTTTGTTGTTTTGTTTTGGCTCTTCTTGATCCTTTGCCTGGCCATATGGATTTAAAATCACTTTGTAAATTTCTGTTAAAAGGCCCCCTGGATGGGGGCCAGCATTGTGGCATAACAGGTAATGCCGCCGCCTGTGATGCTGGCATCCCATCCAACTGCTCTACCTCTATTCCAGTTTCCTGCTCTTGTCCTGGGAAAGCAGCAGAGGATGGCCCAAGTGCTCAGGCCCCTGCCACCCTCATGGGAGACCCAGATGGCTCCTGGCTTTGGCCTGGCATAGCCCCAACCCCAGCTGTTGTTTTCAGTTTGGAAGCAAACTAGTGGATGGAAGATTGATTGGTAGATATTCTCTCTCTGTCTCTGTCTCTCTCTCTTGCTCTCTTTGTCTCTCTGTCTTTCCCACTTTCTCTCTCTCTAACTGTAACTGCCTTTCAAGTAAAATAAATAAATTCTTTTTTTATAAAAAGCCGACTGGAGTCTTGAAGTAGAATCTTAGATCCGCTTGGGAATATTGAGTCTTTTACCTCATAAACAGCGTGTTTCTATATCTGTTCATAATGTTTTTCTGTGATAATGTTGTAGTTTTCAGTGCTGGGATCTCTCACATCCTCTCTCAGATTTATTCTTAATGATTTTTGATACCATTGTAAATTTGATACCATTATAAATTTCCACTTCCTACTGCTACTTGCTGACATAAATATGCAAGTAAGTTTTATATACATATGTATGCTAGTAACTTTAATAAACTCTTGTATTAATACTGGTGGCTCTTTTGTGGTTTTATTTGTATTGTGTACATAGTGTGAAATTTTACTTCTTCCTTTTTAATCTGATTTTTCCCCTTTCTTAAATTATTGAGTGTGCTAGGATCTCCAGCATAATGCTAAATATACATGGTGTAAGGGGCCGGCGCTGTGTCCTAGTGGGTAAAGCTGCCGCCTGCAGTGCCGGCATCCCATATGGGCACCCGTTTGAGTCCCAGCTGCTCCATTAACTATCTAGCTCTCTGCTATGGCCTGGGAAAGCAGTAGAAAAGATGTTCCAAGTCCTTGGGCCCCTGCATTTTCTCTATCTCTGCCTCTGCTTCTCAGTAACTCTGCCTTTCAAATAAATAAATAAATCTTAATATATATCTATCTATATACATACATGATGTAAGATAAGGTATACTTTTTATTGATCATAGAGGGAAAACATTAGATTGTCTACCATTATCTGTGATGTTTAGCCATAGCCTTTTTTTTTTTTTTTTTGAAAAAGGTTTATTTTATTTATTTGAAAGAGATACAGAGATAGAGATCTTCCATCCTCTGGTTCACTCCCCACATGGTTACAACAGCCAGGGTTGGGCCAGACTGAAGCCAGGAGCCAGGAGCTTCATCTGTGTCTCCCACATGTATGCTGGGGCCTGAGCATTTGGGCTCTCCTCTGCTGTTTCCCCAGGTGCATTAGGAGGGAGCTGGATCAGAAGTGGAGCAGACGGAGCTTGAACAAGTGCCCATTTGGGATGCTGGTACTGCAGGCAGTGGCTTACCCTGCTACACCATGATGCCAACCCTAACTATAGCTTTTTTTTTTTTTTAATTCAGTTTATCAGGCTGAGGAACTTCCATAATGTTTCTTGTTGCTGAGAGTTTTTATCAGGAATGGATGTTGATTTTTTTTTTTTTGGTCAAATGCTATTTCTGAATCTTTTGAGATAGATGATCATGGAAGTTTTTTAGCTTTTTAATATGGGAAAATTCATTGATTGATTTTCAAATGTTAAACAAGTCTTTTTTTTCTGTGGTAAGCACCACTCCATTGTGATATACTTTTCTTTTCACATGTTGTTGAACTTAATTATTCTTTAATTCATTTAGTGTCTCTTTTTTTTAAAATATTTATTTATTTATTTGAAAGGCATAGTTACATAGAGCCAGAGGCCAGAGGCAGGGAGGGGGGGTGTCATCCATCTGGTGGTTCACTCCCCATATGGCCACAATGGCTGAGCTGTGCTGATTGGAAGCCAGGAGCCACGAGCTTCCTCTGGGTCTCCCATGTGGGTGCAGGGGCTCAAGGGCTTGGCCCATCTGCTGCTTTCCCAGGCCACAGCAGAGAGCTGAATCGGAAGTGGAGCAGCCGAGATTCGTACCCATATGGATGCCGGCACTGCAGGTGGTGGCTTTACCTGCTATGCAACAGTGCCGGCCCCAGTGTCTTTGCTTTTAATATTAAGATAGTCCTGGGGCTGGCACCATGGCTCACTTGGTTAATCTTCCGCGTGCAGCACCGGCATCCCATGTGGGAACCGAGTTCTAGTCCCGGTAGTTCCTCTTCCAGTCCAGCTCTCTGCTGTGGCTCGGGAAGGCAGTGGAGGATGGCCTACTAGTTTTATTTTAGGTTCACCTCACACATTTTTTTTTTTTTTTTTGACAGGCAGAGTGGACAGTGAGAGAGAGAGACAGAGAGAAAGGTCTTCCTTTGCCGTTGGTTCACCGTCCAATGGCCGCCGCGGCCGGCGCGCTGCGGCCGGCGCACCGCGCTGATCCGATGGCAGGAGCCAGGAGCCAGGTGCTTTTCCTGGTCTCCCATGGGGTGCAGGGCCCAAGCACCTGGGCCATCCTCCACTGCACTCCCTTGCCACAGCAGAGGGTTGGCCTGGAAGAGGGGCAACCGGGACAGATTCCGGTGCCCCGACCGGGACTAGAACCCGGTGTGCCGGCGCCGCTAGGCGGAGGATTAGCCTTGCACCTCACACATTTTGATAGACTCTCTTGTCAGTATCTTCAAAATCAGAATACTTTCTAATTTTCCTTTTAACACTGTTGTAATTAGAGAGTGTATTTTGTATCAACTGAATACTGTAAAATTGGTCAAGATTTGTTTTATGGACCAGACTTTGGTTTATCGTGGCAAGTACTGACTATGTACTTGAAAACAGTATGTGTTGTATTGTTGTTGGATGGAGTGTTCTGCAAGTGTAACTTATGGTTCATAGTGTTCTTCACTTCTGTAGCCTTCTTGATCATCTGCTTACCTGTTTTTATCAGTTCTTAAGAAAGGAATATTGAAATCTCCAAGTAGGATTTATCTGTTTCCTCTTTCAGTTTTCTCAGTTTTTGCTTGATTTATTTGCAAGTTTCAGTGTTATGCACATAAACTTATTCAAGGTTGTCATGTTCTCTTGACGAATTTGCTATTTTAGAAATGTAAAATATTCTTTGCTCTGTAATATATTTCTATTTACTTTTGATTAATATGTTTTCCTATACTTTTGCTGTTAACCAATTTGGTTTTTTATATTTAGAGCGTATTTCTCATAGAAAACATGTATTTGTGTATCTAGATTGATATTTAAATTTAAAAAATTATCAGTTCAACAATGTTTGTCTTTTAAATTGTGGGAATTCGGACTAAATATGTGCACGCTTTGTGATTGCTGATAGGGTTAGGTTTAAATATTTCATCCTCTACATTATCTACTATCCCATTTATTTTTCATTCCCCTTACCTCACTTTTTGGTGCCTTTTTAAAATCAATTGAAAATTTTTATTATTTTATTTTACCTCTTTTCTTGGCTTATTAGCTACAACTGTCGGTTTTGTTATTTCAGTTGCTTTAGGAGTTTATTATGTACAGATGTTCCTTGATATACAGTGGGATTAGGTCTTCAGAAACCTATTGTAAGTTAAAAATATCATAAGTCAGGAATGCACTTACTACACCTCACCTACCAACCTGATAGCTTAGTAACACATGACAGTGCATCTTCCCTCATGGGTGTCAGCTGGGAACTGTGAGAAGATCACACTGCACATTGCTGTCCCAGGAAAGGGTCTGAGTTCAAAGGGTGATTCTCCTTTGGCACCATCATAAAGTCAGAAAAGTGCGCGTCAGACATCGCAAGTCCAGGATGATCTGTATCTTTGTCACTATTTACCTGTATATGACATGAGCTCCATTCATATACAGCAGGAGCATCTTACAATTGTATGCTTATTTTTCTCCTGTCTATGCTTATCACACTTTACTCTGAGATGTGTTACGAACTCCCACTGCATTGTCATTAATTTCCAGTTACTTAATTAGCTGTTAAATACTACAGAAAATAATTTTTTAATGCTAGCTGTGTTGTTCCGATTTCTGGTAGCCTTCATTTTTCTGTACAAATCTGTTTCCATGGACTGTTCTGCCTATTCTATGACTTTAACGTTTCTTGAGTTTGATGACTACTGATGATTAATTCTATCAGCTTTTGTATATCTGAAAAAGTCTCTGTTTCGGCCGGCGCTGTGGCTCACTAGGCTAATCCTCCACCTAGCGGCGCCGGCACACTGGGTTCTAGTCCCAGTCGGGGCGCCGGATTCTGTCCCGGTTGCCCCTCTTCCAGGCCAGCTCTCTGCTGTGGCCAGGGAGTGCAGTGGAGGATGGCCCAAGTGCTTGGGCCCTGCACCCCATGGGAGACCAGGAGAAGCACATGGCTCCTGCCTTCAGATCAGTGCGGTGCGGCGGCCATTGGAGAGTTAATCAACGGCAAAAAGGAAGACCTTTCTCACTGTCCACTCTGCCTGTCCAAAAAAAAAAAAGTCTCTGTTTCACCTTTTTTTGGGGAAGGCAACTTAATTGTGAAATTCTAATTCTAGATTGCCAGTTTTTCTCTCTCAGTTCTTTAAAAATGTTCCACTCTCTTCGCAATAGCATTTTTAAAATGAGAACATCAGCTATCATCCTAATCCTTCTCATCTGTGTCTAACCTGCCTTTTCCTCTGCATGCCTTTAAGAATTTCTCTTTCACTGGTTTTCAGCAATTATATTGTGATCTGCATTGTAGTAATTTTATGTGCCTTGGGCCTAGGGTTTATTGAGCCTCCTGGATTTATGGGTCTATAGTTTTCATCAAATTTGGAGATTTTTTTTCAGCCTTGTAGTACTGTTACAGTTAAGTGGACCTGTCTTAAAAATACACTCCAGGTACTAATAAAGGAAAAAATGTGAGGGCTGGTGTGGTAGCACAGAGGATTAAACCGCTGCTTGCAACACCAGCATTCCATATCAGATTACTGGTTTGAATCCCGGCTGCTCCACTTCCATTCCCGCTCCCTGCTAATGTGCCTGGTGTTGATGTGGGAGACCTGGATGGAGTTCTGGGCTCCTGCCTTTCACCTTGACCAGCGCCAGGCATTGCAGCCATTTGGGAGTGAACCAGTGAATGGAAAATCTCTCTGTCTCTTCTCTCTCGCTCGCTGTCACTTTGCCTGTCAAATGAATAATTTTTTTTTTAATGTGAATAGGTCAAATAGAAGCTACTACCAAGAATCTGGTGTTGATAGTGACCAAATCCATCTTGACTCTTGGGACAGAACAATGTCTATTTTTACTTTAAAGTTCTGAGATTCCTGTGGTTTTTAAAGGAAGCTCAGGTACTGGCTTTGCTGCTGTTAGTATCACACGTTCTCCTGTTTAGCATTCTTACCTGTTGAGATTCTTGCAGTTAGGTGAGGGATAAATGGTCCTGAAGCCTGAGAAGGTGCTTGTGCTCCATCCTGTGATGACTGAACACCTGCATCTCACTTCTAAGCTGGCACCAAGATTCCAGAAGTCCTACTGACTACATCTTCCCAATTTTGCATTTACATGAAGACTGCTGTCTTAGTGGAATACAAAACTTGCTTCTAAGACATATAGGCGTCCCTTTCCCAGTCCTATAATTTGTTGTGGTGGTATACCAGGGCAGGAGAATAGCCTTAAATATTCATTCTGCTGGCTGCCAAGTACAGCGGATTATTCTCTTAATCTCATTTCCATTATGTTATAGCTGTTGCAGAGTTCCACAGGCACCAGTCAGGTCCCCCAAATGACATGAGTGTTCCAGTTGCAGGTCTGTGACTAAGGAGATGGCTGTTTAAAAAACATAATCTCACCAGTACGTTTTTACTGTCATCCTTTTTAATAAACCAGATCTGACAGATGAAAAGGAATCTGTGCTGTAGCTCATATTTCTCACGTTAGGCATATTTCAGCCATAAACTTAATTATCACAAGAATTTTCAAACGACTCCAACTCTCTCTGCACTTGGTATCAGAGGATACCAAGTTCTATTTTTGAGCTGATAAAATCCTCCTTCTCAAAGCATTTGTTTATTATATTACAGCTTCACATGAGCTGAGCTCCATCCTGACCCCGTGTTAAGTGTCTGTGGTAGATTTCATTACATCCATATACTGGAAGTCCTGCCAATATACTGGCAGCAAAATCCTAGTGGAAAATAAATGGCAATAAAAAAGAGAAATGATAGCCTGTGTGAGTGGTGAGGAGCACAGCTTTATTGAGACTGGACAACCCCAGAGTAGTGACTTGGCATGCAGACATGAGCTTAAGAGAGTGTGAGTGAAAGCTGATATTGGAATAACGACTCTGTGGCACAGACATGGGAATAATTTAATTAATTGCACTGAAATTTCTTTGATGAATAGTTATGTGGTGATAAGCATGAGGTCGAACAGCAGAATGAGTCTCAGCTTTTTAATGGGCCAGCACAGCTGCAGTTTTGGATGCCTTCCCACTTTATTTTTGCCTGCAGCTCTCCACTGCTTTCCTCATCCACATCTCTCCAGCTAAGCGCACCACTCGTGGGGCTCCCTCTCTACGACTGCAGAGCTGAGGGGCAAGTACATTTGGCCATGGGAAGCAGGCTGGTGGCTGCTTTGAAATGAAAACCAGATCAAACGAAAATTGTGGGATGGTTTCCTTATGATGGCTGCACCTCCCCTCCTCCCCGAATCTCTAGGATGCTTTTACAGAGCCTTTGCTGCTAAGTTGTATAAAAGATTTTAATAAAAATTTCTTGTCCCTAGAGAAAGAGGCATGTCTTTGTTGTCAGAGAGCTGGAGGGAAATGAGCAATGCAGCCCAGCTGGAGCACCAGCATTAATCCCACGATTCGTAGCCCATATTTTCAGACAGATCAATTACTTAGGGCTGTAACCAATCTCTCACCGTTTTCTTGCTGTGTGGGGCTCCATTTCCAGACTTGGCAGCTGACATAACCTTCCAACTTGATAGGACTTCGGCTGCAAATCTCTTCAGGTCTGCTGCCTCCATTCATCAAGGTTATACAAATGAGTTGTTAAATAAAAATCAAACGTAGAAAATTGTGGGTGGTAATCCCTGTTTGGCTCAGCAGCCCCCATGCATCTCAGCAGCCTTTTCAGTAGGATTTCTTCAAAACAAGATGGACGATTCCATGGTCTGACTTCCTTCGCTTTTATGGGCAGGCTTTGCATGAGAGAAAAGCCCTCTCTAGAGGGAAGAAATTATCCACAGTGGATGCATTTCTTATCAACTCATAAGTTGAAAGATTAACTCAGAAATGGAGAGAAAGGAGATTATGAGGAGACATGAAGGGCATGTACAGGTGAGCTGTGTCTAATGCATTTCACACCGAGTGAGTCACCCCTTTTCAGCTGCTAGGCTGCCTGGGCTCAAGGCCAGGAGATTCTGTATCAAAAAGAAGTGACCCTTGCTGACACACAGGTGGCATGGAACATGTAAGCTGTTTATAGAGCATGTCAGTGTGTGAATGTAGAACTTCTGTGAAGGATCTAAATTCAATAGCCTTTGAAGATTTTGCCCAGAATTTATTTAGTGTCTGCAAGTCATGACTACTCTTGGTGTGAGTTAAACCCTTTACAGCTATGTCAAGCTAGCTCTGCCTTCCTGAACAAAAGGTACTTAGAGGCCAGAAAAAGGAAATCTGTGTGTGTGTGTGTGTGTGTGTGTGTGTGAGTGTGTGATTTGTTTCACTTTAGACACACAGATTGCAGCTATTGGTTGAGAATGTATTGCATGTCCTTGTGTTGTCTTTCACATCTCTCCAGTATGTAATCCATTGAGAACTTTTCTATTT